TTCGGCCCCACCTGGATACCGAGTGCCATACCAATTGCTGCACCTCCACAACGATAGTGCAGAATTGGAGGAGGGCAGTAAAAATGGTGAGGGCCTGGACGGATATAACAGGAAGAGAGACTGAGACGACCGGGGCTGTTTACCTGGAAAGGAGAGAGTGAGGTTACGAGGGGATGCAATCGGTCTATGCACTGCTGGGTGGTGCAGAGAAGTGATCATCAGGCACACCTGCTTTCCAGCCCCATAACTCCAGAACAAGGGGAAATCAATGAAATTGCAATGATAAACAGGATCCGTTCTCACACACCGCAGCTGCAACGTGGAAGTCATTGCCACGTGATGTTCCCGGTATCACAGGATCCTGTGATCCTTGTGTTGTTGAGGCCAAGGTTTTAGCACGGTCCCTGGAGGGATTCAACATAAGTACGGACAATGAGGATATCTAGAGTTATCAGAAATGTCTCTGACAACAGTTTTGGAAGGGATTACACCCTAAACTTCAGGGGCTTGGCTTCTCTCTTCCTATTAGAGACCAGCATTGGGCTTACGTGGGCATATCCCACATCCCTCTACTTTGGGGCTCTTACTCTGCGAAATAATTGTTGTTGGCAAGTGTCAGGCAGGGTCTTGGACCAGGTGGACCTTGAATCGATCCGGTTGTGCAAGCTGCTGTCTCCGCTCAGTAATGGCTGCGCACTGGTGAACACTTGTGTTTCAGGGGCCATTAGTGGATGCCCTACAGACTGCGTGCAAACAGCGTAGTGCAAGCACTCTGGAGCCCACAACGGGAGATGTGCTGGTCATTTCGACTGGATACAGAGGTTGCACTGTGCTGATTGGGTACGTGTGAATAGCCACAGCTTAACTTTAAATGCAACGACTCTGTAATATTCACATCAGAGTCGCTGCTTCTCGGGTATTTTTGCCAAAAAACTTCCTCAATAGAAGGCTCATGGCAAGCAAACGCAAAGCGGCGGTGAACGCAGCCAAAGCAAAGTTACTGAATGAGGCACCCAAAGAGCCACACGACTGTCCTGCAGGGTTGGCCCAGCTCCACGATGTAACTGGAATAAGAACAAAACTCATTGATAAGGGGCTATGAGCTATCTATCAGTCCTCAGAGGCACATTTCAGAGGGAGCGGCATTCAGACTCACCCCAAACACGGCTCGTCTCAGGTCGAGTTCACGGTCAAAAAATATGAAAGCTTGAACCATGGAAACTGGGGAGCAGCAAATGTTATTTATACTAAGGGAATAACCTTCAGGCTATTCCTAGTTCCTTCCACGGTTCCTTTTCTCGTCTGCCTCGCGTCAGGGCCTCACCTCCAGTCTGCCTCTCGCGTGGGGCTTGGCAGGTCCAGCAGCACGAGGAGGAGGATGGCTGCGATAGCAGGAGAGGAAGGAGCGGGTTCTGGCTGCTGTCACTGCTCTTGGAGATAATAATGGTAATTGCCTGGTACCAGCCGTGCTGGAGCAGAGGGAAAGCAGGGGGGTAATTTATGTGCAGAACTGCAGGTTCACAGAAGCAAGGCATCATTTCCATTCCCTTGGCAGCGACACTCTTCTCCTGCCTTAAATCTTCTCTGTGCAACTGCTTGGCAGAGGATGCAGCAGCAGAAGAGGCTCACGGCTCGTTCCCCATGGCATGGCCCTCTCACTCTTGCAGCTCAGAGGAGGCAAGGGTCGATCCTTCTGCAGATGCCTGGTTTCTATAAGCTCCGGGGCTCCTGAGCGCCGAGCCTGCACCCCGTGTTGGGGGCTCTTGCTCAGCTTCCATCACGGCCTGAAACTGGGGAGACCCGTGGGCTCCTTTTGCTCGAGCAGGGACCGGAGGAACCAAAAGGTCCTGGCTTCTGGATTTAGCAGTCGTGCCAAGCAGCGGAGGTGCGGGCTCTCTCCGACGTGACCTGGGCTCGGCGTGGAGCAGGAACGTGAGCAGGGCCTGGGATCAGCAGTGGCAGGAGCTGGCTCGCGGGGTCAGGGAGGAGGGTGTAAGAGCAGGAGACCGCTGGTGCTGGTCTCCGCACGCGTCAGCAGCGCAGCCCTGCGGGCAGGAGCACCCTCGCTCCTGCCCCTGCCGGCCCTGAGGGCTGCCAAGCTGAGCCACCGGCGCCAGCCCGCTTCGGTCCCTTTTCCTTCGTTCCAGAGCCTGGCCGACGAGGACAGGTTTCTAGGGTGGTTGAAACGCAAACGTGCCCGGCCAGCCACCTCCTAAACAGCCCCTTCCCGGCACGCCTGGGGCTCAACCGGCCCAGCGACCCCGTGCAGCGCAAGGGACCTGCTCTGGAAAACTCACCTGAGGAACCGACGGAGCCTGGGCACCGCACTCAACCTCCCATTAGCTTGTTATTCATGTTTTAGTTGGCTGTCTCTGCTCGCGGGTGAGGCTGGGCTAAAACTGCCGTCCTAGCTCACAAGCAACAGTGGCGGCCGGACATGAGCAGCAGTGTTTGTGTCTGAAATGCCAGACGTGAGCGGTGAACATTTTCTTCCAGCAGCGCCTGGTTTCTGTCTCAAGGCACAGAGGAGGGAGTTTGGCCACTTTTGGCTTTCTTGTAGCCGAAGCCACAGTGCGAGGGCTAGGAGCTGAGCAAGCGGGGATGAATGAGAATTCATCAGCTGCCTTAGAGACAGAAAATCCTAGTGTTAGGCTTTTTCCATTGCTTTTTGCTTTTTAACAAAAAAAAAAAAAAATCCAATTCTAGGAGTGTCCCTCTTCCCTAATCCACTGATCCCTGAAGGTTGCTGAATGTCAAATGCCAGGTCCTTGACGTGAGTACTGCCTGTCGCAGCCATTCTGGGAGTCACAGCCTGGGGGAAATGCTGCGTAAAGAGGAGGAGGTGAAGGAAGCCCGAGCATGCAGATCCCAAGTGAGATCCGTGTGGGCGATGCTCCTTATTTCCAGGCCCATCCCCAGCAGCTCAAGCGGGTGATGGCTCTCTTGGACCTGCAGAAGGGCATGGACCGAAGGGATTTGAAGCTGGAGATGAAAATTTCCCCCAGCCCTTTGCAGAAGGCCCCCTGAGAGGCCAGGGATAATTGCTGCCCTTGCAGTGACTGTGAGGCTGCACCCCCGAAGCGGCACCTTGCAGCCAGGCCCCTTATTCTTATTATGCAGCGGGGTACCCGCAGAGAGCCTGAACTGACCAGACCCCTTCACCGCTGGATCTGAGGACCTGCCTCAGCACCTCGACAGCCGTCAGCGATGGCTCCCTTGGTGGGAACTGGGGAATTCTTCCAGGTGTAAAGAAGGTCTCTGCAGGGCTAGCAGGGCTTCCCCGCCGGGGCGTCTGGAGGGGTGGGTGGGTACTTCCAGGACATCTGAACTGCCATTCCTGCAGCCTGAGCGTGCTCCTCAGAAGCGTGCAGATGCTGTTTCTTCTTTGTCTTTGGAGAGAGGGATGGGGGAGCTCACCCTCTGTCCAAGCTGCACTTTCTCCTCTGTGTTGGAGGGCCTCAGGGCATTCATGAGATCCCTGCACAACTCAATTCACATCCTGGGCTGCAGGATCCACATCCAAATTCCCACCAGATGGATCGCTGCAGGTTCCTGTGCCCCGCAAGGCCTGGACACTTGCCTCAGAGGCCCGTGCACGCCTCTGCACTCTGCTCAGTCTGGAAGCAGGGCAGGAAATGGGAACTGAATGCCCCATTATCTGTAGCTCCGAACACATCGGTTCCAGGCTTCGGCCCTGGCGTCTCGTTCAAGCATATGCTCAGAGGCTGTGTACAGCCTCATCCACCTTCCCAGCTCCGTCCAGGGCAATGTGTACCCGGGGGATCCATTATCCATTAGCTGTGGGTGCCGCCTGGACGTGGCCAGGTGCTGCCACAGCTTACTGCCTGTCGTGTTTATGCCACCAGAGGCATTTTGGAGCGTGGCTTGGGGAAATACGGCGAGGGCGGTCGTGGCTAGTGAAACCTACCCCCCGCTCCAGGGCACGCCGCATTCATGTCAGAGCTGCTAGAGCTGGGAGCGCTGCAGCAACTTCCTTGCTGCTTCCGGACCTCCTTCCAGCGCACAGCGCGAGGTGCGGCGTGCGCAACGCCCGTCTGTGCTGCCATCCGCAGCCCTGCCTGCGGTCACCAGCTCTCTGGCTCCTTTATGTGCAGCGATGAGCCCTGCTAACCCCACCCGCGCAACAGACTGGGGCTGGATCAGGTTGTGAGTGGGGACCTCTAAGGAAAGGGCAGGCTCCCGTTCGGAGCGGAGGTGCTCGAGCAGACGCCAGCCCAGGACCGCGCTGCAGTGTCGGGATGCCTCCTGCTCTGAACTGCTGTGCAGCGGTTGAACAGCTGCCTCCTTGCATTACCGACAGGGCTGCACAGCACCCCGGGGACGCGGTTCCAGCGCGCGGGTGAATCCAGGCACTAACGGCTCCTTCTGGATGTGAGATCATCATCTCCCCTTCTGCGG